TATTTTGAAATTAAATTCATGATTGATACTTTCCTAATTTAGGATTCCCTATATGGAAAGAATTTGAAATTCAAATTTGAATTTTAATTGAATTCAAATTTTCCCTCTCATGCTTGATCTAAATTAGGAAGTCATTATGGTGATTGAAATCATCATAATGAAGGGGAAATTATGAGGAGGGCAGCAGCAAAGGGGAAAGGGGGCGGCTAGGTGGCGGGTTGTGGCTAGGTAGGTGGGTGGGATTTAGGCGATGGAGCTAGAAGATGAATTGGGTGGAGGAGGTTGAGCCACTGGTGGTGGGGAGGTTGGAAGGGGTGGTGGATGGAGTGGGAGAGAAAAGAGATGAAATAAAATTACAAATAAAATAAAAGTAAACTAATGAACTCACAAAGAGATCGTAAAACCGCAAACCTTGGACTCCTCCAAAGATTGACGGGTATTGCTTTCACCCACCTAGGGTCTCTCCTCTCATGAACTCACTTAGAGATCAAGCAAAGAAAAATAAGATTTCATTTCAATATTCATCATCCAGTACAATGCATAAGGCCTCCTATAAATAGGCCAAAATGAAACAAAAAATAAAATACATAAATGCCCTCGGGGCTACAATATCAAATGACCACCCATAAGAGTAAAATAGTAAAAACTGAAAAATAAAATAAACTAATAAATAAAATGACTCAAAATATAAGCTCTTGATCGTGGCCGTCGATCTCTGGTATCTCCGATGGTACACGTGTCGATATCTCTGACGATGTCCTCATCAATGTGGTTCCTATTTTTAAGAGTAAATGTGATGTATAAGAGTGTGCTAATTATAAAGAAGTTAAGTTGATGTGTTAAACATTAAAATTATGGGAGAGCGTAATTGAGCATAGGTTACGACGCGATACTAATGTTTCCCAAAATCTAATTGGATTAATGTCGGGTAGGTCTACTATGAAAGCTATACATTTTTTGAGAGGTTTGATGGAGAAGTGAGAGTAAGGAGGATTTACATATTATATTTGTTGATTTAGAGAAAACATATGATAAAGTTCCAAGAAAATGGCTCTAAAGAATTTTAGAAAAGAAAAGAGTTAATAATACTTATATTCATGTCATTAAAGATATGTATACAAGAGCTGTTACTTGTGTTCAAACATCATGTGATTTGACCAAGTATTTTCCTATTTCAGTTGGATTACATCACGAATCAGCTTTACACCCATATCTTTTTACTTTAGTCATGGATGTTCGTATCATTGTTTAAAATTGCGCAATATGAGGCTCGCCTTGAGGTCCGCCTCAACGCACTTTCAGTGAAAAATGCCTCGAGGCTTTTTTAATGAGGCTTACGCCTCGAGCTTTTTTAATGAGGCTTACGCCTCATCTTGGTTGAGGCCCGCCTTGAGGCGCGCCTCGCCTCGCTGGCATGAGGCATACGCCTTGTTCTATTTATGTATGTTTTTATTTAAAACTTAGCTAAATTCTATACAAAAGCCCACAAAAAATAATGCCCTCTTGCTCTCCAAAACCGCATTAACTTCCTCTCAATTGCCCCGACCTCCAGCCCACCATCTTCATCGTAGCCACCACCGTCATAGCCGCCACCGAGGATTACTTGAAAATTGCATACCGCCACCATCTCCTATAAAAATTTAAGTATTTCTCTTATTTTATACAACAACAACAACATCAAGCTTTTATCCCACTACGTGGGGTCGGCTACATGAATCTTTTTTCTCCATTGTGTCCTATTAAAAGTCAAATTCTCGTTTAAATCTAATAAAGAAAGGTCATTCCTAATATTTTCTAACCAAGTCTTTTTATGTCTACCCCTACCTTTCTTAACATAAGTCAAATCTAATACCTCTACTCTCCTAACCGGGACGTCATCACAAGGCCGCCTAAAGTAAAAAGATATGGGCTTAAGGCTGATCCTTGATGTAACCCAACTGAAATAGGAAAATACTTGGTCAATCCACCTTGTGTTTGAACACAAGTAATAGCTCCAGCATACATATCTTTAATGATTTGAATATAAGCATTATTGACTCCTTTCTTTTCAAGAACTCTCCATAGCACTTCTCTTGAAACTTTATCATATGCTTTTTCTAAATCAATAAATATCATATGTAGATCCTCCTTATTTTCTCTATATTTCTCCATCAAACCTCTTAATAAATGTATGGCTTCCATAGTCGACCTACCCGGCATGAATCCAAATTGATTTTGAGAAACATTAGTATCACGCCACAACCTATGCTCCAAAACTCGCTCCCATAGTTTTAAAGTATGACACATTAACTTAATACCTCTATAATTCGCACAATCTTGTACATCACCCTTATTCTTAAAAATAGGAATTAACACACTCATTCTCCACTCATCTGGCATCTTCTTAGTCTTCAAAATAGTATTAAAAAGTTTAGTAAGCCATGAAATTCCTTCATCTCCTAAGCATTTCCACACCTCTATTGGAATATCATCAGGTCCAACAGCTTTTCCACCCTTTATTTTCTTTAAAACCTCTCTAACTTCAGTTTTACTAATATTTATGAAAGATATTTATGAAAGAGGAAGATGGTTGAAATAAATAAAGAAGTAGATTGGTAGGTATTGAACCCTACAGAATGAGGCAAAGCAGCGGTCAATTTGTTATGATGACTCAAATAAAAATCCCCTTAGTAATGATAGTACATATGATTTCTGATGGGAACATCGATAAGAGGTTTCGACGCGTCTATCATAGACGACAAAGGAGATCGATGGTCATGATGTATTGATGCATTTTATGTATTAGTTATTTTATTTTCAAACTTTTTTCCATTTTTTGCCCGTATGAGTAGTTAGCCACTATTGTAACCCAAGGGGCATTCTAGTCTTTTATTTTCTTTGTCATTTTGAGGCCTATATATGTGGCCATTTCTTATGTAATGAGGATGTTTTGATAAATGAAATTCTAAAGTTCTCTTTGTTTTCTCCAATGTTGAGTGCTTGAGAGAAGATGAAAGCCTAGGAGAGGCGATTGCAATACCCGTCAGCTTTTGGAAGAGTCAGCTTTTGGAAGAGTCCGAAGCTCGCGGCTCCACCCTCGCTCCCCTCTCTTTCCCCTCAAAACTCTCTCCCTCCCCCCACATCCCGCCGGCTCCCAGTTCTCACCGCCGCTCACCCCTCTTGTTCTCCTCAAATCCCCCACTACCAGAAAACCCCCCAACCCACCGTCCACTCCAGCCCCTCCCACCGCCCCTTGGCCTCCACCCGAGCCCCACCACCACACCACCTCCTCCTCACCATACCGCCGGCCTTACCACCACCCATGAATCCCCATTGATTGTATCGATTACTTTCCTAATTTAGGAAATCAAATTTGGAGGGATTTCAAAATTCAAATTCAAAATTGATTCGGATTAAATTTCCTCCTAAATTTCCTACCCTAATTAGGCAACCACTAAAGCCTCACAAATCTGAAATTAATTTCAGATTTCCCACTCTAGTTTATTTAATTACTTCGGCCCACAATCCAAGTAATTAAATCTCCCTAAATTCCTCCCTATAGGGCCGACCACCCTCTCTCTCTCCAATCTCATTAATTGGAATCCAATCAAGGATCCAATTAATTAAATCACTTCCCCAATTCCCTCCCCCATCTCCATTTATTTCAAATTTCAAAATTTGAAACTCTCTTAGCCTAATTTAATTCAAAATCTGAACCTAATTTCAATTTTGAAATTAAATCCCTCCCAAGTCACACCTAAACCGCCCGGCCCCTCTCTCTACTTTGGCCGCCCCTCTTCTTGCTCCCTCCCTTAGGAAGTTTTGAAGCCAAGAGAAGAAGACAACGCCCTCAAGGCGCGCCTCAGTAAACTTGAGGCGTACGCCTCAAATCGGGAACTCATTGTGTAGGCTTTGAGGCTTAAAGGGGTGAAATTGCGTTGAGGCGCGCCTCTTATTGCGCAATTTTAAACCATGATATATATATATATAATACTTAACCTAATCTTTTCTTTAATAGAAAATACTCAAAATTATACATTTTATATTGATAATTTATCCAATATAACATTTACCTATAGCATGTTGTGTTTTATGTTTTGAAATTATGAGCGGCACCGTGTCCTTTTTCGAACTTCATATGATGCAGCATAATTGATGTGACTGCAAGACATATCTTAATTCCCTAAATTGTTGCACAATTATGTGCTTCACAATGTCCATTCTCATATTTCATAGTGGGCAATATAGTTGATGCAGCTCTATAAGACAATCCAATTCCCTGAATTATTGCACAATTATATACAGTTACAAGTTAACATGAGTAACTTTTAGTCTATATTAAGTAAAAAATAAATAGTATTATAGCCACCTTTTTTTGCAAACATTCTATGGGAGGTTCAAAACAATCATGTTGATCAAGCTTCAATAACTATACAATTCCCCAATATGATGTTTGTATTGCACATGAATTTCTCTCAAAAAGTTTTACAATTTGAACAAGAAAATTTGCAAGTATATCCCTCGCTTTTTACATAGAGTTTTAACGAAGTTCATAAAAAATTTAAGCCCCTCCAACAACTCCCTTGATTTTTGTCGGTAAGCATGTAAATTCATTTAATTGGCCTCCCTTTTTTCAATTATTATTTCTCTGTGGCATAAAAATGTTGTACTTTCCAGTGAACTTTCTAAATGAACTAAGACACCCTCCCACACATCAGAGAAGCAAATGAGGAAATTTTACATAAAAAAAAAAATTGTATTCGAGATGCAAAACCATGATTAAAAAATAAACAAAAAATGCCCGAGTGAACTTAATGGTTTAATAGATGATGAGTGACCAAGTAAGAGATTTTCAAGAAATGAGAAGCATTATTTCCCGTGTCAATAAAATGGAAGCTCCATACAAATTTTTAAATAACAAATTCAAACTATTTTGAGGCCTTCATTCCATAATTAAAAAAAAAATTGATGAAATATGCAGTATATTTCCATTTTAAAAATAAAATTAGTATATGCAATAATTTCCTAAAAAACAATTTACCATTAGAACAATGAAAAAGGAAGAATGTAGATCAATTATATTGGGGAAACTAGAGAAGCTTGTCCTTTTATGAGAAACTTAGTATATTCACCGTGCTTTTTGATTCCCTAATTTTCTCACAAGATTGAAATCCAAACTAAATATTGGTATGAAATCAACTCATAAAACTTTTTTTGTGAAAATACCTGAAAAAGTTTTGATTCCAATTGTTGTCGCTTTAAGGTTCTAACACTGTCATCAAAATATAAAGCTTCCTTGTCATAACTGTAATACAAATCAAGTTTTTAGTGAAATTATGATATTATTATGATATTATTCTAACTGCTATACAATGAAACAGGCAAAGGTTTGTTGTCAAACTGTTCAGTCAAAAAGGATTACATAACAGCAGTTCAGAGTGAGATATTTTGATAAATCGTTCTTGAAAATCAATGTCCAATACCAAAAGATATCATATGTATTTATGTTTTTGAACTTTTCAAAATAAAATATAGCCATCATAATACCTTATTAACCATCGTTAAATACAAAATTTCTAAATAATACATAAAGAATTTCAAAAGACATCTAAATTAACTACTATTAATGGCTCCCGCATAATTTTTAAATCTTAATGTCCTGACACCATCATGCAATGTTTACATCTAGTTAAACCCTTGGACTTTCCAATATTTTGTAACAATAGGCTAAAGCTAAGTATCAAGATAAACACAAAATTAGATATGCACACTACCATAATTTTTAAAGATATATTCCCATATGTAGAAGGGGAAGGAGCAAGAGAAAATATCAAAATATAGCTGAAAGATCATGTTCGTCCTTATACAAGCAATAGATGTGACTCGAAAAGTTTTTAAATTTTCAAGAGCATAAACCACTAGGCTGCTTTCAAATCTAATCTATTTTTAAAATAATGATCAACCTTTTATGAAATAGCAACCCTACATTATAGAAGCATTAACCCTTGAAATATTTAAAAGGCATTTATCATTACATTTATTCTTTAATTTGCCAATAATTACCAAAATATAAGCTAAATCCTAAATCAAGAAAAATGAAACCAGTGTGATAGCTTTCACTAAATTTACCTTATTAACAATCAATAATCAACAAAAATAATTGTTTTTCACATTAATTAAACTAAAAATTATTACCCAATCAAGCAGTTCTCCAATATAGAGCTGAGTTTCTTCGCAAAATCTGGAACAATACCATTTTGTACCGCCTCTTCAAGGTGGCACCACTCCTGTCAAAATGCTCAAATGGATAGTAACACCAAAAACATGCCCCATACTAGAAACTAAATAGAGAGGAATTATTGGCCAATTACCTCATTATTCAAGAAAGAATCAATTTTTGCATTTGCAATTTCTTCACAGCGAACAATAGCAATCATAACCTACATTAGGACAGCGACAAAATTAGATATTGCTATATCAAAGGAAAAAAACTCACAAGTTATAAACAAACAAAAAACAAAACCATCCCCTTGTGGGCGAGTAAATCAATATTCTTGTTCTCTTTTATAGCTTTCCAAATTTGTTGTGTAAAAGAAAATCCTAATGCAGAAATAATGCCTCGTCTATCTCCAGCAAGCCCATCGGGAGAAATAGAATGAAAAAACCTTTTCCGTAGCTTTGCAACTTGTAGGGACATAATAACAAAATCTTACGAATGCCTGAATCTAGAGCAAGAATGCATATTTGAGGCATTGCAACATATAAAATATTATGAAACATTCAAAAATTTGGGTGGATGATGAACCATTCAGCTAAGCATGTGAGAGAAAAGGTCAGACGTTCAAGGGTTGTTGGAGAAACTACAACTTTAGCCATCAAACTGTAACAACTACATTTAAAGCAAGGGTTATGTCCTACAAAAAGACTAGTAGGTCCAGCATCATCTTAGTAAGGATTAATCATTCTTGGCATGCAAGCCACAGAATTCTAACGAAAAGAAGATTAGTGCCAAATGTAAGAAAACCAAAAGAACATTTCCTATTATCTTAATTCTTCATCCTCTTTACATTTTAGTTCTTTTCATTTTATCCTTGCTATTTTCCATCTTCTATTATTGTGGTCACTCATATATTATTTTTTCCTATTCTTCATTGCGCAAACATTCCCTCCAAGTACACGCTTGCTCTTTTCTTTTTCCTTCACAGCAGCATCACTCACAAAATTTTTGACAATTGCAAACTTCCAAGAATCAATCTCAACTCCTAACCAACAAAAAATGAAATAAAATAAAATAAAATAAAATAAACACAAAACAATCATGCACCACCCCTCACACCATAACATATAAAGAAACACAAAAAGGTGCACACATACATATGTTAAACAAAAATGGTTGCATTAGCAATAAGGTGAAGGGTAGGGGTCTAGGAGTTAAACAGTGCCTACATTTTGCAGCTCTATGCACATAGTTCACCAAATATTTTCAATGTAATGGATTATTGAAAGCAGCAGAAATTAGCTCATTTAGAGTAGTTCCAACAAACTACTGAAAATCAACTCTCTATAATTCTCTTCTGCTAAAATCTTTTAAAATTTTCATGATCTATTCACACCCTTTTTATGTTAAAACTAGATAATCAAATAGTCGATGTTATTTCATTTACCAAGAAGCATCTCCCAGCAAAGGTTAGTGGTATTGACTAAAAATTTAGAATTACAATAAGTGCATGAGTATGTGACAATGTAAGACTTAAATGCAGCTTGCTACATTCCAAAGCATATGACAAGTTGGACGCTGTGGTCCCCTACTTACATGCTTATGTAAAGCAAATAATTTTTTTCATAGACCCACACAAATTGGGGCTCTCCATTCCACAAGACAAAAGATATGAATAAGAAAGGGAGACTTTAAAATGCAATAACAAAATCGACATTTACCTGTTCCTTGAATTGTTCTTCCTTTTCTTCAAAACTTGAAAGGGCAACAACTTCTACCTATGGTTTGAAATAGATCCAAATTTAAAAAATAAAAAAACATTATTCATCAGAGGAGAAAGAAAATACTTTTTATATCTATGTTTCAACTTACATTAAAAAATTCACTAAGCGGAGTATTTATATGCTCAAGTGATTTTTGAACAGAATCCCAAATCTATAGCAAAAAAATAAAAATAAAAATAAAAGCATGCTAAACAATAATAATATAATGAATATATAAAAGATAAGAAAAGCAACAAATAGCACGTACCTTTTGAATATCTCCCCTCAACATATGTTCCAAGTTTTCTACAGGGGTCTACCCATGTAAAGACAAACATGCTCAGTATTTCCAGAT